GTACATATAGATTTGGGTCTGGTCTGAAACGCAACTTGTGGCAGGTACCGGCTGGCAGGGTGGGTCTGGTTGAGATCTAGATCTAGATGTAGACGGATTGCGACTCAACTAGACCCATGATAGACGAAGAAACAAATGTTCCAACTTTCAATAACAGAGATCAAGGTTTGAGAGAAGATGAATCAGTATATAGATGCAAACGATGAGTCTGGAATAGAGCTTTAGGTTTGAATAATGAAAATAGAGGAGAACAAAAATTCACAAGAAAATAAAATAGAAGGACTCTCTGCTGTTAAGTTTGGATAATGAAGATCGAGGAGAAAAAAATACTCACGGGAAAAATAAAATAAGAGGAAAATTAAAGGGTAAGATATCGTAACAACCAACTATGGTTACTACTACCAATCAATTTCACTATTAGATCGATTATGTTGATCTAACGGTTATGTTTATTTCTATCTTTGTATGGTTATGATCCTCATATTTAATGTAAAAGCATTAAATATGAAAAATCATAACGATACAAAGATGAAAATAAATATAAAGTATTAAATATGGAGAATCATAATCATACAAAGATGAAAATAAATATAACCGTTGGATCAACATAATCGATCTAACGGTGAAATTGATTGGTAATAAGATTGGTAGTAACCCTAATTGGTTGTTACAATATCCTAACCTAAAATTAAATTGGAAAAACTTGAATTTTTAAAGAAATATATTTTTATATTTTTACATCATATTTTAAGGGTGGGCACTTACCCCCCTTCTCCTTAAGGTAGATCCGCCTCTGCTTCTATGGTGCCCACTTGCCATATGATCATGAACATCCAATGAATGTGGTTTGCAATGAAGTGAAGGAAATAATGTACGTCTCCCTTAAAATTATGCCTTGCTTAAATTTATATTATAAAGTACGTCTATTAATATTCTGTAAAGGAAATAATGTCATGGCAAAAGAAATAATTCATTATTTATTATGTATTTCATTTCCTGAATCTAAGGAGATGCGTTAAAAAATTATTAAAATATTTTATAAGTTAGATAATAATTTTAGTAATTATTATCTTCAGATATACATATATTTTTAATTTGAATATATTTAATGGTATGAATAATGATATTAAATTTAAAAATCTAAAATAAGATAAAATAAAAAAAGTAGAGGGACAAAAAATATATATATATATGTGTGTGGAGGTGCAAACTAAATTATTTATAATTCTTATAATTAAATCTTAACCGTTAATTTCTGTCAATTTAATTATTATAATTTTCAAGGTTAAAATAATAATAATTTTTTTTACCAAATTTTACATGTACAAATAATAAGAGAATTTTAGAATATCGAGAGATGTAATTTGCAGATAAATAAAAAGGAGGATTAGCTTACCAAAAAAGAGAGAGGAAGATTTGACTTTGATAAAACTTGTCATTTAAATCACAAATATTTTTTCCTTTCCATAATTATTAATAAAAATATATAGAAAATAAAAATAGAAAATAAACCAAACCCATTTGATACATCCAACTAGTGTTAAACTCACTTTCTAATGGTGGAGGAACCAAAACTTTAAATTGACATTATTGGCTGTGTTACGATCAGACTTGGAGTCCCACGTCGAAAACATGATACTCTGGTGTGGGTTTATATAGATTTTAGCAAGAAAGCACGGACACTTGTAAAAACAGAAAGAGTCGGGTCCGACATGCTCCGACACGGCGACACGCTCCGACATGCTCCGGCACGGTGTCAGACATGCGGTTGACTTTTTCCGACACGTTGACCATTCCGACACGCGAATTTGACCGTGTCCGACACGGTCAAATGACATTTTCGTAATTTTTTTATTTTTTTTTAATTTTTTAAAAAAAATTATTTTTTTAAAAGTTAAAATATATTAATAAAGCTTCAACCTGATCATATCAATTTTATCTTTTTTTCTTTTTTTTTTCCTTAAGTAGATAAGAGATCATCTCAGCATATCAATTCCTATCACGTTCTTGTTGTATCTTCTTCTCTCTGATCTCTCTCTAATATGATTTGATCTCTCTATCTGATATTATATATCTCTCTTATCCCAGTTTTTATTTTTTTGATTAAAGCTTCCATCTTTATAACGTATTGATGGGTATTATTAATTCAGTTTCATTTTTTTGTTAAATTATTAAATATTAAATGAAATATACACTATATATATTAAAAATATTATTTAATATTAAAACGTGTCCCAACGTGTCGAAATCCATAATTTTTTAGGATTGACGTGTCGGAGTATCGGGTCGGATCGTGTCACGTGTCGCGTGTCGTATCGATGCTACATAGGATTTTAGACTCTAAATATTTCATAAATTAACTTTTGGGATAAGGCTCTTTCAAGGATTGTTGACTGAGTCCCACGTCATAAATTTTGGAGATGAGAATCTCCCATGTTCATATCACATTGTAGTTCATATATTTTGGTTAAACTTGTCATTGAAAAGTATTCATAAACTTGATCTAACCCTTGTGATCGGTCCACTAAAATTGTAATTAAAATACTCCCTTAAAAAAAATTAGCTATGCTTATATCAATAGTTTTATGACTCTGATTTCATAGTTTCATTAATCCAAATTAACATGAGTGCCAACTTACGTTGAATTCGATTTAACTTTAATAATTATGAATTGATATTGTATCCTCAATTATTGATAACAATTAACAAATAATAGAATAAACTGGTTAGAAAGAATGTATTTTTTGTGATCTTTGTAGATTTAGATACAATATTGCACGCATAAAATTAAATAAAGGTTCACATTTTCTAATAATATTTGCATGATTTTATTTTATATATAACAATTTCCATGATTTTAACCATGTCTCTCTTTTTATTTTAAATTTATCATTTTTTTTCTTCATAATATGAGATATTGAAGAAAATTAAATGCTCCCTTAGAAAAATGTTAGCTATGCTTATATCTATAGTTTTATGACTCTGATTTCATAGTCTCATTAATCCAAATTAACATGGGTGCTAATTTTAACTCTAATGATTATGAATTGATATTGTATTTGTACCTTCAATTATTGATAACAAATAACAATTAACAAATAATAGAATAAATTGGTTAGAAAGAATGTATTTTTTGTGATCCTTGTAGATTTTGCATACAATATTGCACCCATAAAATTAAATGAAGGTTCTTATTTCCTAACAATATTTGCATGATTTTATTTTATATATAACAATTTTCATGATTTTAAACATGTCTCTCTTTTTTATTTTAAATTTATCATTGTTTTTTTCATAATATCTGAGATATTGAAGAAAATTAAATGCATATAATTATAATGTAAAAGATCAAGATTAGGCATGCTGTCTACCTCACCAGCATAAAAGGGCCAATCAACCTAAATGAAAAATAACAATTAACAAATAATAGAATAAATTGGTTAGAAAGAATGTATTTTTTTGTGATCTTTGTAGATTTTGCATACAATATTGCACCCATAAAATTAAATGAAGGTTCATATTTCCTAACAATATTTGCATGATTTTATTTTATATATAACAATTTTCATGATTTTAAAAATGGCTCTCTTTTTTATTTTAAATTTATCATTGTTTTTTTCATAATATATGAGATATTGAAGAAAATTAAATGCATATAATTATAATGTAAAAGATCAAGATTAGGCATGCTGTCTACCTTACAATTAACAAATTTTTATATTTGTATTCATTATATAATAAATAATACATCATCAGTATAAATATATAAAGTCTAAACTACTAATAAATAATTAAACCTTGTATTCAAAACATAAAAAATAAAATTAAACCTTAGAATTGCCGCAGTGGAACAAGATTGATAGAACTTGAGAAATCTATAATATTTTATTTTATGAAAAATATAAGAATTATATTGCAGGAATTCCCGCAACAAAAAAATAGTTATGTATTAATGAATATAATTTTTTTTAATATTAAAACTATGTACTATTCGTAATATATAGTTATAAAGGATAGAAAAAAATAATTATATATTATCCGTAATATATAATTATCTTTTTTTATAAGATCTCCTGCAACAGAATATTCGACGAATCCTTATTTTATTTTATCTTTTTAGAAAAATCTATAATGTCTTTAATTCAAACGAAATAGTCGAATATTTCCCCTCTAATTACAAATGATTTCAATTTATATCCGGGTTTTTTATTTTTCAATAGACGAGCATGTCAGCTATTTTTGCTTTTCCGTTTTTTATAAAAATTTCTTTTATTTTATCTAGTATTGCTTTGGATTCTAACTAATTGAGTCAAATGATCCACAGGGCAACTTGTGCTTTTTTAATTAAAATTTTGTTAACAAATGCTTAAGGAAATTAAGCTATTAGAATATGTTTAAATAAACTTTTAAAATAGCACATATACCTCTATGATACCTCTATGACAGAATCAATTTTATACTCAATCTTAGTTATGAACCCGTTTATGTTGAACAACTTAAATATAAACTAAATTAATGTCATTAGTTCATTACATATGAATACAATTGCAATAATTGCTGCAACTTATTTTTTTAATATAATGATAAAAATTAAACTATAACCTAATATAAACTACCCAAACGCATAACCTTTAACAATATAATTACGTTGCTTTTCCCAACATTTTGTTATTTCTTTCTATTTATTCATTTATCTATCAATTTTTATTGAGATATATGGATAAGGGCATGGAAGACCAGAAGAGGGGCTCTAATTTTTATTTATATTTTTGTCATGGGCTTTAATTTTTAGTCAAACACGTGTTACGAACAGATACAAACTATACACGTGTCGAGATCCTATTCGGTACAACACGTGCTCCTTTCAACACAACTACCCTATGGCATTGCGGTAATTCCGCGGCGGGAGCGAGGTCAATTTCAAAACGGAAGTCTTTCCAAGATAAAGAAATTCCTTTTTCAACTTCTTCCATTTTTCTTTCAGTTTCTCATCATTTCCATCATTTTCTCTTTTTTCCCTTCGCATTTTCCCACCGGGAAACCGAAAGAGACAAAGACAGAGAAAAATCACTTTTCCAACAACGACAATGGAGGAAAAGCACGCAGCTATCGAATCCGCCCATAACGAATCGAACGGTGTCTCTGCTGCTGCTCATAGCGCCGACCATGGCTGGCAGAAGGTCACCTACCCAAAACGACAGAAGAAGAAGGCCAATGACAGCACCAATGGCTCCGATTCTCGCGCCAATTCCAACAAACTTGGTCCCAACGGGACGGTGCCAGGCGCCGACACCGTCTTCCGGTCGCTCGAGCTGCAATCGGAAGACAGGCGCCGGCGAATTCTTGAGGCGCGGAGGGCGGCCGATGCAGGATTCGACGATGTTCCGGTTAGATCGAAGCAACGGTCTCGCGACGATGACGAAGATGACGACGAGGACGATGAGGATGTGGATCGTTCGGCGGAGAATGGGAAAGGGGAGGAGGCGAAGAAGGTGAAGCAAAAGAAGCTGAAGAAGCCTAAGGTGACGGTGGCGGAGGCGGCGGCGAAGATTGACGCGGCTGATCTGGGGGCTTTTCTCGTTGATATATCGGTAGGGCATCTGATTTGGTTAATGTCAGTTAATTCACCATTGTTTAGGTTTAGTATTTGGGTTTGATCTGTTGGATCCAGGAGAAGATGCGTATGGTTTGGTTTGGTTTGATCTAATTTAAATTCGTTTTTGCTTGTTTTTCACTATAGACATCTTACGAGAAGCAGCAGGACATACAGATGATGCGGTTTGCAGATTATTTTGGACGTGCTTTTTCTGCTGTGAGCGCTGCTCAGTTTCCCTGGGTGAAGTTGTTCAGGGAGTCAACTGTGGCTAAGATTGTTGATGTAAGTTTGGAATTCCTTTTATTCTTATTCTTCCCTATACAAATATTATCATTGAGATGAGAAATAATGGAATGGAAGATTAACTGTTGTGATGGGAATGATGCTGATAAATGTATGTGTTTAATTGTGATGTGTGCTTGAGTTTTCGGATGAATCATTGACTATTGTGGGGTTGGAGAGGCCAACATCCTATCTTGCCAAGGCGAGTGTGGGGTCGGAGTCATATCGAACCATGTCGTTTGGGGTTGGTAAGGCCTTAAGGATAACTAGAAAGATTTGCACCCTGACTAAAAGCTATAGCTTTTGGCCTAGTGGTAAGCGCTCAATCCAATAACCCTCTCTAAGCGCTCAAAAATAAGTAAATAAAGAAATTGTGGCTTGAAATGGATTTGTGGGATGAACTTTGTGCTGCTTTTCATGTTATGAGTGCTTTAGAATGTTATGCTCTTCATGCACATTTTAGTTATATTGCGTCCTGCTTTCTTTGCTATTGTTACTTAATTTTTTTTTGTTAAAATACTTATATTTTGTTAGAACTTATAACCATGTTTGTTATATTATCATGTTTACTCTTCACATATATGAATTGTTGATCTTTGTGAAGTTCAGTCACATTATTCTCTAATTAATAGCTTATAAAAGAAATTCACAGCAGCGAATCAATAACTTATTGTTTTATTTATTCACTGTTAAATTATTCAATATGTAAAGTACATTGGTGGCATTGATATTTTACAAAGCCGAATGTTAGTGTCTTTAGTGTAGTGAAATCTAATTGGGATGCATATTGATGCTAGCTGTCCTACGAAATCTATTGTGACATTGGTTTTATGTGATACCACTTACTATATTTACTTTTTGAAAATTGGTGATTTAAGAAAGATTTTTCCTAAATTTGTGTGCCTTTTCTACCATGTCAAGATATTAACGTGTCATGTTATTGAGGATTTATGACCTTGAGCTTCATAGTTATGAAATCTCAATTTAATAGAAATCATATATTACTCTTTACAGTTAGCTTTTAATTAAATGTTTTATGCTTGCCCATAATTTAGTACTGAAATGTTTTTATATGTTTCTTCCTGTACTGTTTAGCTTATTACATTGAGACTGTTCTTGTTGTTAGGGTAAATTGATGTTTGAAGAATACTTGATAATTATTGTTCAGCGTTTACATTCTATCATAGGTTTCTTTATCAGAATCATGTTTCTAGTTTTTTATTTTGTACTGTGAAAACTTATAAAAGGATATTCCTTTTTGCCAGACGCCACTTTCTCACATATCTGAGGCTGTATACAAGACATCAACCGACTGGATTAACCAACGTTCTCCTGAGGCACTTAGTTCCTTTCTGCTTTGGTCTTTAGATAGCATTCTTGCTGACTTGGGTGGTCAGCAAACTGTGGTCAAGGGTTCCAAAAAGGCTGTGCAACAAGTGGCTTCAAAATCTCAGGTAACTTACACTGAATAGTCTACTTTGCAATGCAATAGTGGTGCTTTTTTCCCCCTTTTTTTTTTTTGGATAAAAGAAATAACTTTTATTAGAAGATAAGAATGGCTACATAAAAGAGAGAGAGGAAGAGGGGTGGGCGAAAGGAATCCTCCTAATTATAAACTAATAAGAAGGCCACCCGCCAAACAGAAACATCAATACAGAAAATCTCTCTGTTCGCTCTGCAAATCTATTAAGGGGACTCTCTGGAAGAATCTATGTGTTGAACCCCAAAGAGAGGCCAAGTAAATAATCTTGTACCAAAACATGATTAATTAATGAAGTACACCTTCCTTTATAAATCCAAATGTTCCTTTCTTACCAAATGCAATAGGGATGCTTGATTAGTGAATGACTATAATATTCTCTGATATGTGCCTCAGTGCAATTTTATATTTTAATTTATTTGTTTGTGATAAGTAATTATATTTCATATGATAAGCCTCTGCTTTTAAGTGTTCAAGTTGCTCTGATTAGTATAAAATAGCTAGAGGCATGGAGGAGGCACAACATTGCTAAACTTTAATATTAGTTAGCCCTGTTTTTTATGTTTCCATTTTTATGGGATCTTCTTTGAACTGTGCACTCAACATGAATGAATGAATGGTCAATGTCGAGACAAATAAAGGAACTACAAATATGTGCTCTTGAGATAGGCAGTCAATTCACGAGTAATTTCCATGTATGACTGACAAACATCAGAATATGCCTTTATAACTTTTTTAATCAATTTTATTTTTCTTTGGGGGATTGGGCATTCAGTGTCATGGAAGGTCAAATGTCCATGTTCATAGATTGCCATTGCCGTCTTTGATAGTACACAATTAGCAAAATGGGGTATCTTCTTTTGCTTTCTGATAGAGATCAACAATTCACAAGTCACAACACAAAAGTAACTAATAGAAAGGGAAACTTTAATTCTGATATGGAAACTTAAATACAATATTTACCCGTATACATTTGGAGAACCACAACAGTATTGAAAGGTTTACGAAGAAGAAATGTAAAGGAAAATACAATAAATTGAAGGAAAAAGACTCAGATAACCTAGAGCACTAAGAGAGGCTCTAGTATCTCCCAATTCCAGCCCAAACCAAAGATTACCGATGGTGTCTATACTTATCCTTTATTTTTCCTGCTGCATTCCAAAGCCCCCAACTGAATTCTGTTGAGCCCTTTTCTAGAATATTCTCTTCCAACAGACTACCTGCTGACTCAGCATTATTTTCCAGTCCCTTATATTTAATATCAGTTGTGGGTCTTAACACTTTCATTATTCAATCTATATGTATTTTTCTCTTGAAATTGAAAAGCACTTGAAAATGAAAAGAAGTGAAAATAAATACAATGCTTCCATATGAATAAATTTGATTTAGATAGTTACTTTGCACATTGTAGTTTTGTGTCTTCTGATTTCATCATCTTAATTTTGTGAATTTTTTATTGTATAAATTTGACTTCACAGAATTTTTATGGCTTTTGGTCCCTAAATCACATTCAACCTTTCTATGATTTTCTGTAGCTTTGCAAATGCAAAATGTTTTTTTTTTTTTTTCCCCGTTCTTTGAGCTGTAGAATTGACATTCAATTTACATGATCTGCAGGTTGCAATATTCGTTGTTTTAGCGATGGTATTGCGTCGGAAGCCGGATGCTCTTACTACTGTATTACCTACATTGAAGGAGAACACAAAGTATCAAGGGCAAGATAAGCTTCCAGTTGTTGTATGGATGATAGCTCAGGTAAGGGGTATATGCAAAAATAACTAGAGAACTTATGAGACATCCAAAAAAATAAGTTATGTCAGTATGACCTACTCAAAAGGAGAACTGTAGCATTTACCCTTCGTTTTTATAATGCTTAATATTGAAATATTTCTGTGTAGGCTTCGGTAGGAGATCTGTCAGTAGGCTTGTATGCTTGGTCACGGAATCTCCTACCTATTGTGATTGGCAAAAGTGGTAATCCCCAATCCAGGGATTTGGTTTTGCAGCTAGTGGAAAAGTATGTAAATATCGATGTTCTTTTATTTTTATTTTTTTATGTACCTTTTTATACCCCTTTTCTTTTTATATAGATACCAGTGTCATCACCATTATTCTTTTTGTGATTTGGTGGCAGAATTTTGTCTACCCCTAAAGCACGGCCTGTTTTAGTAAATGGTGCTGTAAGAAAAGGGGAACGGTTAATTCCTCCTGCTGCATTTGAAATTTTGATCCGGGTCACTTTCCCTCCATCCTCAACTAGAGTAAAGGTATATGTTCAGCTTTCTCTGGTATATCTGCATTTGAATATATCATAGCTCTAAACCTTTGAATTCATTTCAATATGCTGCTTTTATATAGGCTACGGAAAGATTTGAGGCCGTATATCCCACTCTGAAAGATGTGGCTCTTGGCGGTTCTCCTGGGAGTAAAGCAATGAAACAAGTTTCACAGCAGATATTCAGTTTTGCTATAAAAGCAGCAGGAGAAGGTATGGACACCTGATTTATTGTTTCATTTGTGTTGTTTAGATGAAATAAATGTTTTAGAGGGTATGTTGAAACATGGCTGTATTTTGCAGACAATCAGGAGTTATCAAACGAAGCAGCTGGTATTTTTATTTGGTGTTTGAGCCAAAGCACTGAATGCTACAAGCAATGGGTGAGTTATTCTATCTAGAAACATACCTTTTTGAGTTCATGCAAGTTTTTTGCAGATTTTTGGATAAAAATTATATTTACTTATTTGATCCCATTCCTTATTGGATATGGACAGGAAAAAGCTTATCAGGATAACCTTGAAGCTAGCGTTTCAGTTCTGAAGAAGCTTTCTGATGGTTGGAAGGAGCAATCAACAAAGTTGTCTCCTCATGAGTCACTGAGGGATACCCTTAGGAATTTTAGGCAAAAGGTAGTTTCTCATTCATCTGCCTACATGATATACTTTCAGTTTATTGCATCTGGGATCTTTTACCAATCACCCTGACATGGACTGATTGAATTGTGTTTACTGTATTGAAGTAGCAGAATGTTTAACTTGAATATAATGATTTTGACTATTTTTGGCGACAGAATGAGAAAGCATTGGCTACAGGGACAGATGCGGCTCGCCTAGCACTCTTCAAGGATGCAGATAAATATTGTAAGATAATCTTAGGAAGAGTTTCCCGAAGCCATGGGTGTACATGTTTGACCTTCACAGTTCTTGCTTTGGCTGTGGGTGCTGTTCTTTTGTCCTCCAATACTGAATCTTTGGATTTTAAGAAGCTCTCTGTAATTTTCAACTCTCCGTACTGAGCACTTTGAGAATATTCTGCAATACTGGCAATTGGTTGCACCAAGCAGCAATTTTCTTTTAAGCCCATCTCATTCACAATGGGTACAATAAACCGATTGCCTCGTAATAAAGTGCATAATGTGGAGGTTGTAAACTTAGTTCAAATCCTGTTCGGATGACAGAGAATAGTTGAGGTTAACACTGCTTTGAGGTTTAATTTAGTTTGACCATTTTATAATTTATTTGATGTTCTTGTTTCTGTCGAGTTTTAAAATTTAGTTATCTTATTATGCCTTTACTTTAACAATGCTGGCAAAATGCCAATGAGGTAACTATACCTTTATTTTCAAGTCAATTTAGTTGAATCGAAGGAATTTTGATGGCATACTGTAAATTTTTTTTCTAGCTTTTGCACGGTTATCATGGCTTGTGCCCTTCTTCCCTGTATTTTCTCTAATCTCATTTATTTTTTTCCTTCAAATGAACAACATTGTTGAGCTTATCAAACGGTCGATTCAAAGCAATATATATGATTGCTGTGAGTCAGAGAACGGGAGAAGTCGATAATTGATTTCAGTAATAATCTTCGAGTGTGTAGGCGCTTTCTTGTTTAGGCCTTCGTCATTTTAGCCTATTGATGCTAAAACAATCTTTTTCTGCTTCTGAGACACTAATTTATTATTGTTTGACGGACATTTAATTTTGTTTCTGTTTTCTAAAATTTGGCATTGAGGGTGAGGTAGTAAGGTTGCACCTTACGATGGCAAGGTATGAGTTCCAATAGTTAGGTTGCATTTTGTAATCGGGAGGTATGGGTTCGAGTCTGGGTTTGTCTTTCTGAAATTTGGCATGCATGATCAATATCGTAACTACTTATAGTTCAACTACTGAATTGATTAATATTATTTTCGATAAAAATTGTGTGTCAAATAAATTAGATTAATGTCAATTGATTCTCACCACACGCGTATATTGATTTGAAACCCTTGACAATACATCAAGATCAATCTCACTAGCTTAGTGATTAAAGAGAAGTTGTTTTCTTTTACGGAATCCGATCCTCACTGGTGGACATTGAAATTGAAGATATGAAGTGTTACCGTAAAATTTTGTATCTGAATCACATTCGATACAGTTTGTAATCAAAAGCAGAAAAATGTATAATATTACATTCACAACAATGTAGTTTGGAGAACTGTACTCTTAGGATTACAATCGAACTTCTGATTTGTTCCGTTTTGGTCGCAATCTCATAAATTATCATAATCTTCAGGTTTGGCAAATGGGTACTTTGAGTATGCATTTCTAATTTTAGAAGGATCTTCGGGTATAGACCAAGGGTATTTCATGGATGGATCCCGTGGGAACTTCCTGAAGTTTAGAAATGGAGCCCAAAGAATAATCCTGCAGGACAAGAAGGAAATAATTCACCCATTAGTGTGCTTTTAGAAGAAAGAATATATATATATCTGCCACTCACATAAAAAGGTGGGTCCATAAAAGAATATATGCATATATAGGATATGATAACTTATATCAGTTTAGCATTTTTGTTTTTGGGCTTTGTTTTTCTACTGTAGTCGGAGATTATCAAATTTTTCTGCACATAGAAGCAAGCTGGGTCACACTAGATTTTGTGAAAAAAAAAAAATTAGGCACATTTTACGAACTAAGAGTGACGTGATATAAATAATTTACTGCAACAGAAGAATACATTTTGCCTTTGTTTTTACTACAAAAAAATATTTATCTGCTACACTCACATAAAAGTGAGTAAATCCCACTGTAGGACCCACTCAGTTTTATATGAATGTGAAATAGAAATATTTTTTACAGCAAAATCAGAAATATTTTTCTTATATATATATATATATATATATATATATATGACTTTAATGTTTCTAAAGTGAATGTAGATAAGTTATCTACATTCGCTCCCAAAACGATGTCGTTTTGGGTTAAAAATTAAAAAATTATAATGAAAAAGACTATTATAACCCTGAAATAAATTATAATTACAAAAATACCTTGATTTTCGCCTCAAAACGATGTCGTTTTAGGCTCAATGTAGATAAATTATCTACATTGACTGTAGAAAAAGCGAATTTATATATATATATATATATATATATATATATATATATGAATTAAAGACTTTTCATATCACATGAAAATAATATCTTCTCTTATACACACAATAGGTTCCATTGAAAAGAGAAAACAAAAAAACAAAATTTCAATGAGACTCACATGTTAGTTGTTTGTGTAGGAGAAGAAATTCTTCTTATATAACATCAGAAGTATTTAATCCTATATATATGCTGCCAATTATTAGAATAAATGATTTCAAGAGAGAGTAACGCAACCAAACTTTATTTGTATGTTAATTATCACAAGGCACAATTGTACACAAATATTGTACCAGTTGCTTCATCACTATTTAACGGAAAAAGTTCTAGATGGCACCCGAACTTATTTGTGAGAATACGAGTGTTATGGATCAGAGAAAGGACCAGATAAAGGCCCACAGCAGCAAGAAGTCCAACCAATATCAGCCCAGAGGTAAGCTCTATAAATAGGACTAAAGACCACATGTATGACTGATCTCTCTAACCTTATTTTATTTAAGACCTATTTTATTTAAGACACGACAGTGCACATACACCCCTTCTGGCTAAAGCCATCATATAGTGTGTAGTGATCAGCTATTTCCAAGATACCTAGTTCATATATATCTAGAGAGAAAATCCTAGATCCAACATCAAAGACCCGACCTTCTGGCAGACATGTGCCTAGGCAGAACAACGAGAATAGTCTCTTGACAAAGTTAGACAATAATGGTATGAAGAGCAATATATATAATTTTTGTTTATAGAGAGGGGAAGAGCTTCTCACGCTGGAAAGAAAATGAAGGCAAACATGAATTGCAAATACATCTCCAGAAACTTTCTTCTGTACCATCTTTTCCAAAACCAGATCATGATTATTGGCTGCAATTCAGATACTCTAGTTGAATACATAAGGACAAACTTGGATTGCATAGTTGTGAAAGGAAATATATAACTTACTGGGACGACAAGGAAGTAGATAAAGAGAACAATCCCCAACTGTATCAAAAGCCCAGTAAGTTCTGGTGGGTTATTCTCTCCAGTGACTGCTAATGCTGGCTGCTCAGCCTGTTCAAGTAAGTAGCCACAATAAACTTTTGTTTATAATAGCAAAAAGGGTAGCAAGAACTGAATTTCAATGTGCAAAAACCTCACAATGGCCAAGAGTACTGCTCCTATGTGCAGTGCCAAACTTGGTTTCTTCAGACTGAAATAATCATTTGGCTTCTGGCTGCTACATGTTATTGTCTGCAATTGGATTCATGGGTTCAAGTTAGATAAGTTTTTCAATGAAGGGAAATGGAACAAACTAAAACTAGTGGAGAATTAATTGGTTGGCAGAAGAAAAGCAACGTACATGTAGTGATTGGGAAGGACTAGTGTTTTTGTGGGATGATTTGTGTTTGGAAGCAATAAAGATCAGAGAAGTGGGAAGGGAAGGAAGAGCTTTGGGAACATGGAGGCTGAATGAGCAACTCATTTTTTGTTTAGAACTCTCTTTTGAGTTTGGTCCTTATCCTTTTCCACAGTTCAGTTCCATGGCAACGGGTGAATGGCCTTCTGTGGAAAAAGATGACAAAATTTTATGTAGATTGAGGATATGACACATGGAAATGAGACTCATCCATTCGAGTTTTGATAGGAACCAAAATGCCTTAAACTCTATATACTGTTTTTTTTTAGTAAATGAACTTTATATAGTTAGTTGTCAACACAAATGTAGTGAGTTTTGGTAAGATTCGAAACAAAAATAAATCTATATATAATTGTAGGATGAAAATAAAACTTGGAATTTCACTTCTAATAAATTTTTATACATTATTCTGTTTAAATTTTTTATATTTGTGAATAAAAATCAATTTTAACTTTTTTGGTATTTTAAAATTATAATTCTAGAAAAAAAAATTATTTTAAAGAATATAATTTTATGTTATTTTAAATAAAATGACCGTATTTTGATATATATTTGTTGGGCTTTTACGTTCTCTCTTTCATAAAATTAGAATAAGAGAAAAATAAAGGATATTGTGAAGGAAAAATAATATGACTCTTAAAATCTCTTAGCTCTCATTCTCTCTTACGACTCATATTTTTGTTTTTAAAACATTCAATAATAAATTATTTAAAGTAATAACCGATTATTTTCCTTTCTAAAAGAGTTCAAAGTTCTCTAACAGACAAATAATCAATTATCTAAAATTTATAATAACAAATTATGGACAATTAGTTTGTTCGTAACTTCTCATGTTACATGAAAAGTTGAAATTTTACTACTGAGAGAAAAAGATATGAGATCCACCTTAAAAAAAAAAAAAAAAAAATAATAATAACTGACACAGACATCGAAGCGGAGTGGTAAGAAAAGAGATTTTTTTTTTTTTTTGGAGTTACCCAACCCTAATTATCTCTTTGAGACGAGTTGGCTCCCTCCGGTATCCCCACGAGTTTCGACTCTTAAGAAGTCTTTTTCTGTTAGTTTCTTCCAGAAATTAATTGCTCACACTGTGCCAATAATTTTTTTTAAACGCCTCATAATTTTTTTTACCGTCTCGCCTGTAACCGGAGAGACTTAAAGCCCTCAAATTATTTGATATTATTTATGTTTATTCAAAATAATCAATTATTTGAAAGTAAACATAAAATAATGGGACTCTCAAACTCAATAAATATTGGATTGCAACTTGTGATAATATTATGTAATAAGTTATTGAAGTTCAATAATTGATTATTGACCCAAGGAGAGAGTAATTCATCAAAATATATTTAGAATAATCCATTATTGTCTATGGTAATCCATTATTTTGATGCCTCCTCAAAATGTTAACATTTAAAGCTTAATATATTGGATTATTAGTTTATGATAACCAATTCTCAATAATAATACATAGTTGGAACAATATTAATTTTTTTATTTGTAATTCATCAAATTTCAACTCATAAAATTATCCTATCAATTCAATTAATAAAAGTAAATTTTTGTCAAAATTTATATAAAAAGTCCTCAATTTGTTTTGCATTATATCATAAAAAGTTTAATTTACATAACTTATTTTGAAATAATAAAAAATTAAGAATAATATTTGATAAGGGGAAGGATATTGTGACAACCAAGTTGTGTTACTATCAAGTGACTACCAATCAATCTTACCGTTAGATCGATTATATTGATCGAACGGTTATATTTATTTCCATCTTTGTATGGTCATGATTCCCCAAATTTAATACTTTATATTTATTTTCATCTTTGTATGGTGATGATTCCCCATATTTAAAGTTTTTCACTTTAAATATGGGGAATCATGACCATACAAAGATGGAAATAAATATAACCGTTGGATCAACATAATCGATCTAACGGTAAGATTGATTGATAGTCACTTGGTAGTAACACAACTTGGTTGTCACAACATCCTTCCCCATTTGATAATCTCACATTTATATTTACACTACTCATTAATGGGTTTATCGTCTATCATTTAAAATAACCACAAAAAATTTCCTACACACACAACATTTTGTGAGGCTCGCAGCAAAAAAAAAAAAAAAAACTTCGGTACGCAAAACGAATCTCTATAATATAACACAATCACTTTTCCTACAACATAACTCTTATAAAACCCTTCATTAATATCACTTTGGATTATAACTTTTTAGTAACTCTCAATTTGATAAATTTTCATTTAATTAAAATCTTAATCAATTGCTTTTATTTGTTTATTGTACTAATTTAAAAATTTATAAGGGATTAATATATCTCATGTTATAGGAGATAATTTTATCTGCTTCACTCACATAACAATATGTGGAGCCCACGTGAGAACATGCGAAAAGAAGAAAGAGAAAAAGAAAATATAGGCCTTATATATTTTTATGTATGTAGAAGATATACAACATAAAAAACATTAATAAGGGGCTTAGCCCCTCTTTATTTACAAAAAAAAAAAAAAAAAAACATTAATAACAAACTATAATTAAAAATAATCAGTCACGTACAATTGAAAATACCAGTATCATATCTCCCAATTTCACTATGCTGTCAATTTATGTCTGTTTATTAAAATCACACTACTAAGAAAAATCAGACACATCATAACTACTAAAAAATGAAAACAGAGAGTTCAGATAGTGCCAATTTATATCTAAGTTTGATCATAGATCAATGTACAAGACAACATTCCGTAACAGCTACTTACAGTTGCGATTGAGGAGTGTGGCCAACCACATAATAACTTTTCGTTAGTTAATAATCACTTTAATATACACAATCATTGCTCTTAATTGGAATAGTAGTAATCACTAATTACCAATTATTATATTTATAAAATTTAAAAATAAAAATAAAAATAAAAATAAAGTTACCAACTAAAAAAAGAAAAAAGAAAACCGGTGTGATGCACAGCAAAGGAGGGGTCGCAAAAAGCCAAGGTTGTCGGAATTCGATTTGATTCTTCACTTAGTCGAAGCAATTACTTCGATTTGATCAAAGTTCCTCACTTTCTCTCTCCTCCTCAAGACCCATCACACGGTCAAGACTGTAGAGAGAGAAAACCGAGAGATCAGCGCTGAAAGTGTGGAAATGGGTACTCTTCCGTCTTGGAGAAGAGCTTATGGTGCCATCAAAGACTCCACCAAAGTGGGTCTTGCCCATGTCAACAGCGATTTTGCGGTATTCTTTTTATTGGGTCTTTTCTTTCTTCTTTTTTCTTTTTTCGTTTTCTAAAGATAGGTTGTTTGGATCCCAAGAAAATTTTTCATGTATTCGGTTCAATTTTTCTTTATGATTTGATTTATTTCATTCTTTTTGATGAATTTTGTCAAGTGGGTTGGTTTCATTGGATCTTATTTTTAGGATTTGGACGTTGCCATTGTCAAAGCCACGAACCATGTTGAGTGTCCTCCCAAAGAAAGACACCTCAGAAGTGAGTGATTTTTAGATCCGATTTGATCTTCTGGGTTTTCATTTTTGTGATGGAAAGATGACCAATTTACATCCTTTTATGATTTTATTGTAGAAATTCTGTTTGCTACGTCTGCTGCTCGACCCAGGGCTGATGTTGCTTACTGCATTCATGCCCTTTCCCGTCGGTTGGCGAAGACTCGAAATTGGACGGTATTGACTTCATTTTTTGGATTCAGTTTATGTGATCAATTGATGTGACTGCAAACATACAATTATGGTCCTGTTTGAGTATTCAGTAACTTGTTTATATGCGTTTTCTTGGATATGGATCTTTCTTTACTTGATGGACTGGTGTTGGGTTTGTGGCATTTCTGAATTATTTGATAATCACTTGTGGAATGTGTCCTATATGACATCAACCAAAATGGTGAAACGTGAAAGGAAATTTCTATGAAAGATTCAAATCAGTTTCGATGAAGGATGCAATTAGTGATCCAATTATTTGATAAGTCCAGTTCTTGTTACTACTAAAAGCAGTGTTTACCAGTTCTTGTTTAGATAGATATCTCTTATAAGTTATTAAAGGATAGAGGAGGGATCTGATGTCCACCCTTCCTTTTTATTCTTCTGCCTATAATGAACCCTAGGTTGAATTCCTAAGTTCCTTTCACTCGAGTGCACTTCTTGGTCGCCCACCCCTTTTCTCCACCAAATAAGAAAATATTGTTACATTTGTAAGTTTCTGTTTTCATTATGTTTTCCAGTCTATTAAAAGGTGATGATCAGTTTTTCCCCCCTGATATAATTGTAGATCTTAAAATCAATTGAACTTTGGATCATATGCAGACTATTGGAATATTCTTAGGGCATGTTTGGGATGCTGAATGGCAATTCTTCAGAATGGGAATGAAATGACCATTACCAGTTCATAGTCTGGTTGTTTTAGGAATGGGATGTGCTTTGCACATCGAATTGATGGGGAATGGAATAAAAGTTGATCTAAATTACATAAATGCCTCTAATTAGAAAAACCATAAAGTTTAATTTATCTCAGATTCTCATGTATATCTTACATATTGTAACATGAGTATGCATTCAAAGGAGCAATGTTCAAGTTCAACTTTTCAAAAGTGGGTAACAAATTATTTATTTATGAGAAAAATTTGAGTGTATACATTTCGTGTTAGATATGCAAAAGAAAACAATGTAGTTTCATGCTCAAGTTCTTATTTGTTTTTCTATTTCCATTTCTTTGCCTTATCCTGTGCATTAATCCTCCTGTGATACGCACTAAAAGGGTCATCCAATGGACTTAACCACATGTGTGGTTTAAATTAAATGAGGGTAGCAGTTGTTATTTAGTAAAAATTAATGATGTTATGTGGGTGAAAAAAATTAAATGAAGCTTGGAATGCCATTACCACCTCTCTAGGAACAAGGACGGATGGAAGGGAACAAGTAGGTGCCTTGGTGCCCCCAACGTTCCTTTTTCTATTATAGGTAGTATACTAGTATAGTATTCTTGTGAAAGAATAAGTCCCCTAGTGTTCTTACTTATTTGTTGTGCCAAATTTGATTCACTTATCAAACTAAAGTTCTTTTATTTAAATATCTTGACTTATATAATTTTGCCCCCCCTCAGTAGTTGATTGCTAGACCCATCCCTATCTGAAAGTGAATGGGATTCCATAGAAAAAATCACCATTCCTTTTTTGTTATATTTTTGCTAATTTTTGGTTAT